GCAGGTCATGAAATAGATGTGCTAAGAGTCTGGTTCAGTAAATGTGGAGCAAGACTACAGGTAGTCCTCGAGTAACGAATGTAGCCTGCCCATTCCATTTGTAACTCTAGGATTCATAGGAGTGAATGATGTATCATGAACGCGGTCACTCCCTGCTTTCACCCATGCATTCGCTAATCAAATGTGTGGTTTGTTAAGTGCACATGAAGTTTCCCAGGGTGGGGAAGGCCATGAGGGGCCTAGTGATGGAACAGGCCACTTGCTTTAGACCACCCAAGGCCTCCCCCGACCCACTGAGATACCTCATGCTTCCCACAATTTCTTCCCCCATCCTGCCACACCGGGTCACTTACCTTGCAAAGATCTAACGAGCTGTCTCCTCTCCAGTCTCTCTGCTACACAAGATCACGGTACCCAGAACCTTTCACTCTCGGTTCAAAATGTTTGCAAGCTGACAGGAGGCTTTGGGTCAGTGAAAACGCTGCCTCAAAGCATGCAAACACCTTGGGTGCCGAGACCGAAAGCTCCTGAGGGGGTGTGATATTGTGTGACTTCAGGCTTCCAGTCACCATGCAAAATGTCCTTGAGGAAAGGCCTTTGCCAATAGAAACAGAGGCTGGGAGCGACCCCCGCATCAATCCGGGGCTCCATTTTCGTCAGCAAAGGCTTTTCCTCAAGGCTTTTGCCGATGAAAACGGAGGCCAGGAGTGACACACATGTCAATCTGGGGCTCCATTTTAACTGGCAAAGGTTTTTTGCAAAGATGGCAAAAGGTTTTGCAAACGGAGGGAAGGCTTCGATATTTCAGGCCTTCCCTCCTTTTGCAAAGTCTTTTGTCGTAGATCTCATCCAAGCCTCCATTTGCAGAGAACAGACCTAAAGTACCGTGAGATCACACAAGATCAGTAGCATGAGATCTCACGCTACTGATCTTGCATGATCTTGCGGTACTTTAGGCGTCCATTCTCTGCGAATGCACTGAAGGCCTGAAGCAGTGAAACAGGCCAAGAAACGAAGACTCTCTAGATCTTCACAAGATGAGTATCCACAAGCATAGTGCCTATGAAGACCTGGGATGTGTGTGTGGGGGAGGAATAGCCAGGGTGAATGTTGCACTGCTTCTGCAGTCATTCGTAAGGGTGAATGACTGCCGTGGTGCTGCAACATTCGTAATTTTGGGACTTGTTTGTAAACATTAGGGGGCACTTATTGCATAACTTAAAATGTTCGCTAAGGGAATGTTCATAACTCGGGGATTACCTGTATGTGGCTTAGAGACTTATATACCTGTATCAGCTAAAGAATAAAGCTGTACAGGGAGACAGAAATGCCAAATGACTAAATCAGGTTTGTGGAAAGACAGGGGGACAGGAGAACAAACAGCTTATATAAACTGGATAATGAAGAGTAAAAAACAGAAGAAATTTATCCTTGCTTCATTATTGAGGAAAGCTTTTCACTATGTAAATCATGCAGAATGTAGAAGGTGTTAAGGCTAATGGTGCACCAGAATACCTGATTATTTTTCTGAGAAATTGTAAGTATAATCAAGAAGCTTCTTTAAGAATTAAATTTGGTGAAACAGAGTGATTTGGAATAGGAAAATGAGCAACAAAAGGATATATATTCTCCCTTGCATTTAATTTATACAACCAATGTGTTTTAAGAATTGCAGATTCCAGGGTTTTAAGATTGGAATAAGCACTGGAAATTAAAATACTAATGCTTTGAGAAATTCTTACATCACTTTATCAGCCAAAGATAAAGAATTATAATGATTGTGCATGTTAAAATGGAAAATTAAAAATTAAAAATACAAATTAATATGAAATATTAAGACAACCAAAATAACATCTACCTGTATGACAATGAAGAAGTGAAGGCTTGATGGTTTTGTTTTTTTGAAGTAAATATTACTCTAGATCACTATTTCTTAAAGGATGATCCTAGGACCCCTAGGGTATCTCAAGACCCTCTCAGGTTTGCAAAATATTTATCAGGCTATGTTGAAAAATAATCCAATATTAAAATCCCATCAAGCAATCTTGAGAAGTGATAATGTTAACAAAAGTTCAACTTTAATTTTTAATAGAGTAAATAATGATAAACATAACCCATACAAACAAAAACTCTTTTGGCTCCTCCATAATCTTTTAAAAGTGGGAAGGGGTACTTTGAGGGGGAAAATAGTTTAAGAAACACTGCTCTAGATAAAAATGGACAATGTGCTGGAAAAGTAAAAAGGAGGATTATTCCTAGGAAGAAAGAAATTATAGGAAGAAATGAAAAACTAGACAGAATAGTTAAAATACTGGTCTTTTCAGTGGCATTGTATAAGTCTGAAGATTGAATACATAGAAAAACTGAGGTATAGTCCTCTGAATTTAAAATTTTGGGAATGTTACTAAAACATCGACCATTCCTGTTCCAAATAAAGGCTGACTGTTCCCTTAAGACAATGAACAGCAAACAAAATTCACATACTATGTTTTCAGCATGTGATACAAGAGGGAAAAGGGTTAGAAAAAATATGGTATTTGATCAGGATGAAGAAAATAAGGTAACAAGAGACTACTGAGCTTTTATTAAAAAGTGAACTGGAGTTGAACTTGTTTCAGTAGCATCTAACTTAGATGTAATGTAATGTAATTATTTAGTGACCACCATTGGAACTGGCAACTCAGTAGTTAAGCGAAGTAGGTGCTAAATGAAACTGAGATTGAGCTTATAATCTTACTTCAGCTTTTCTCTGCTTTATAGATATGTGAAGATTGTAAATGCAAGAACTGGTCAAAAACTTACTTTTTCCCCACTGTTGTAACTATGAACAATTGCTAAATGAGGTCTACCTGTATTGTAGGTTTCATAAAATACTAATTTTATAGAAGAATCTCAGTGGAAAATGTGCAGCATAATCTTATAAAAACAAATAAAACACCACTTATACCCTGTGTTTCCACAATTGCTAGGACTAAAGCACATAGATACATTCATATAGCAAAATCAATAAAAGCAAATTTGGGAAAGGGAATAACCTTATATTCATGCTATCTAAACCATCAATGCAAGCCAGGGTGAAAACTGCAAAAGTAATTCTTGATTCATTTCAATGGGGCATGTATTTAACCATACCTATAAGCTATGGTCTGATGGTTTGAATATGGACACAGATTTCCACAGCCCTAGGGAATTTGTATATATATCATTCAGCATATGTGAAAGAGAGGATTATTTAAGCTTAGAGAATGCAGTTTCACCAAAAGTGTGTGTGTTTTTCTGTGTATGTGTATGTACTTATAAAAAGTGCTTTAGATATTGCTGGAGATTTATTATAGTTGTTATTAGTTTGCTGTTTAAATTATTTACTCCAGGCAAGAAATGTAGTTGCCAATACAGGTATAAAGCCACAATAATAAAATCTTGCAATGATTTCTTGTGCTTGCTCCAATTATTCCTTGTGTAAAACAAATATTTCTCATGTTCTTATTCATGCATTCAGAATAACATATATTTTAGAAAAGCATATATAATATTTACTGCAGAAACAAGCTTATGCACTATTTTGTACTAAACCATGATTCTATCATACTTAGCCTCACACAAATAATGTTCATTTACCCTTCATTTTAATATAATAAAACATTAAAATAATGAATTCCCTTTGCTTCTGAACATGCTCTTGGATTAATAATAATTGTAGTGCCACTGATGGACAATGCTGCTGAAAGCAAAATTAAGGCAAGAAAAAATTATTGAACATATTCTGTTATTGTGCGTGTACTAAAAAGCAAATGAGACTAATTATACACTTAATTAATTTCTGGGAGGTTGAAATTCTAAAACTATATTCTGCTATCACAGAATATATACTATCAAACTCTTTAGGGCTTATTTCTGAGTAGAACTATATAGAGCTGGGCTGTTAGGGTAAATATCGCCTCTTTGTAAATTTTTTGTATACATAAAGGAATTTAGATGTTATAATTAGAATTATAAACAAAAGTTTGTCATTAAAAAACCATTCTGCTGATAGTTCAACTCACATAAACTATATTTGGTAAAGATTGTATACTGATAAGGTGCATGGCCCACCTATTCTCCAGCTGCAGAAAGTTCCTGTTATCACCTACTGTGTAAGTATTTCTACAGTTATGTTGGGTACTCTCCTGGATACCATATATCCTTCCTGCAGTATAATTCTATAGTTTCAGATCAATATTCCCAATTTTCTATAAACAAGGGCACAATTTCATAGGATGACTGATTCTAAGTTTTCTGCAGCATTTTTTCTTTACCTTCTTGGGTTGTCTGCAACTCTTACAGATATTTGGTTCTGCCAAGGGAATATTTAATTCTGAAATGCCAAATGACAGCTATAAATTAAGACTATATAGAAATGGTTATCAACAGAGGTAAGGCATCCTTAACATCAGCATCTTTTAGTCATCCCAATCATCTCTCAATTTTTCAAAGGAATGAACAGAATGTTTTTGCATATAAATCTCTAAGTTTTCAATCATAAATAATTTTAAGGTATCATTGATAAATAAAACTCTTTCATAGGCTTTAAAAAAAACACTTGGTGGATCCTTGTGCCTGTGAGACTACTGGATAATTATAAATTTGAAAGGAAGCATATTGGAAAAATGTCATGATGCTAGAGAATGCCTTTCTTGTGTAAGCAATAACCATCCTGCATTTTATATATTATCTTATAAACATTCTACATTACTTATTCATGTTGCTCATATGATGTGCCCGTACTTCCTATTCTCCCACTTCCCCTCTTGGCATTACTGTACACATCACTTTATCCACGGCATGCCATTAAAAGACTTTACTGTTTTTCAGAAGCAATCACATGCATTAAAGTTCAGGTCACCAGCTACAGTTGGACTTTACACCTGAAAGCAAAGTCATCGATAATTCATTCTTGTTGAATGATAATTTGGCTGGTGCATGAAATGGGAGATCTTTGCTAAAAGAAGACGTTGCAAGGTTTACGGGTCTCCTCCTTCAGATCCTTGTTCCTGAATGTCCGTTTCCTGAGTTATGTGGCTTATTGCTGTCTCTTTTTCTTCTGTATCATCTTCTGAGCTTACAAGCTGGTTTTCGCTGAGCTTATTGCTCTCATGGGTGTTGTGGCAGCTTGCACTTCCAAGACGAGTTGATGCAACAACAGCTTTCACTGCAGCCTGGTTTTTTTTTTTTTTTTTTAAGAAAAAAGAGAAATCTTATTTTTTGACATGTATGATATAGCTTGGTTGCACTGAATGTAAGGTAGTTCATTCACATATATCAAAAAAATATGATTTAGCTTAATGAAGCTAAATCATAGATTTTCTCATACATAACATGTGATAAAGTCTAGGTTTACATTCTAAATAGGTTATGCTCAAACTTTATTAACTGACGTGGTTTAACAAAACAATGAATTTTATTCACATTTCCTGTACTCATATATAGAAGAATTCTGTAATGTTGTTGTTTAAAAATCTTAAGAAAATACAAAGCACAAAATGTATATATATAAGGGAATGGTATATGCAGATATGCACATGCACATTTGAATAAAGTTATTTAAAATGCACTAGGAGAATGTATGCATTTTCTTGCATGTTGTTTCCACTAAGCAAACTGATACAAACAAGACTAAAATATAGAGCCAGAAAAATGAAAAAAAATTAGCAAACCAAAAAGTTATGCCAAAAACTACAACCAATGCAATGCATGCCTAGTTTTGCAATGACATCATAATAAAATAATCCTGATGGGATAAGGCAGAATTCTTCATCCTTGTATGTGCTTCTGATATAGCAATAGCATTTAGATTTACATACCACCCCATAGCACTTTACAGCATTCTCTGAGTGGTTTACAGTATAAGCATATTGTAAAGCAGGGGTCCCCAGCCCCCACTGCGCCCCACTATTGGGCTGTGGCCTATTCAGAATTGGGCCGTGTGAGTGGCTGGCTGGAGTACACATGCATGTGCGAAACTCAACTTCCACAAGTGGTTGGCCGGTGGGCACTCGCTTGCATGTGCACCAACCTGCCACTCACACAAGGGCTGCATGCACATGTGTGCCAGCCTGCCAGTCACACAAGCAAAAGGCTGCATGCACATGCATGCCAGCCTGCCACTTGTGCACACCAGTCCCCCTCCCAGCCAGGCCACCAAGCTGTAAAGGTTGGGGACTGCTGTTGTAAAGCATATTTGTATATTGCCCCCAACAATCTGGGTTCTCATTTTACCAACCTTGGAAGGATGGAAGGCTGAGTTAACCTTGAATTATGCCATTTAAGGAATGAGTCTCAACGTATCTACAGGGCATCAGGATAGAGAAATAAGTGTCAGTTAGATCATAACTCAAAATTGTTAGAGCTTTAGAGCTTCAGAATAGGTGATTGGAGGGCAATTCTTACTGTCTCTCCACTTTAAATTGTGCAGAATGGGTGTAATTTAGGACTTTTGGGGCAGCTTGCAAAGTAATAGGGTTTCTTTTGACATCTCTAATATGACCCAGCATATTGTACTTTCAAGTTTATCCTCACTGAGGTACCATTGAAAAAATCTCCTCCTGCCTTAATTTTATTTTCCATTGTGCATTTACTGAGATCATAAAAAGGGATTGCCCCAATCTGTAATTCTGCCTGAGCAGAAACTTTCTGTATTCCACTATATATTACAATGAAATGATTTCATAGACTTACAGAATGCAAAGATTGAATGGAAATAATCGAGTGTACCTCTTAGGCTAAGTCAGGAATCCATTAATACAGCATTCCTGATAGAAAGCATCTAGTCTCTGTTTAAACACATGCAGTAAAGACAAATTCACTTTCTCCTAAAGAAATATGTTACCATTTTTATCTAATGTCTAATTTAAATGTAGATCCTTGTAATTTAGGACCATTGATCCTTGAGCTGTCTTTTGGAACAACTTTGAAAAATCAGCCCTATTTTTAATATGAGTGCTCTTCAAGTACTTGAAGAAAGTTATTATGTTTCTCTGCTGTCTCCTCCAGACTAAACGTATCCAGTACCTTTAATCATTCCTTGTAAATGTTTCCTTCCAAGTCCCTTACCTGTTTTATTTAGGACATGCTCCTGCTTATCAAATTCCTAAAATGAGGCATTTTTAGAATTGGATCTAATATTTTACGTGTAGTCTAACTAGTGCAGAATAGGAAGGAATGATGCCTTCTGTTCTGACACTATACTTCTATAAGTGCTGCATCACACTGCTAACCGTGCAGATCACCCTCCCCCCAGATATATACCTTCAGTTTACGTCGAGCATTGAATTCTTGGAGTTTCTTTTGAGCTGTATCCATATGAATAAAATTGGCTGCCTTTCCTGTGACCCAAGGATGCTGTAAAGCTTGGAAAGTAGTAAGGCGTTTTTTGGGGTCAAGCACAATTAGCTTCCTAACCTGCATAATATGAAAAATATAAAGTTAACAAAAACCATTCAATTCCTTGAATATTTATTTTATGTTTCCATAGGCCCTAATCTAAGGAATGATGTGTTCAGCAGATCTTATGCATCAATATCTTTCTGACAAATGACCGAGCTGTTAGTTCTAGCTGCAATAAACTGGCAAAGCTGAAGCAGAATTTAAACTTTCAATTTCCTTCCCTACCAGAGGTAATTGGGATGATCTAATAAATCAAAACATTATTTTGTTATTTTAAAAACCTTAAAGTTGTCAGTGCTGAAAAACTAAAACCATATATTAGATTCCTTTTTTTCACTATAGATATTATATATCTACCCTTTATATTTCTGTATGAATTATGGTTGCTAATTTATAATCATAATAATGGATGGCATTTTGCAATACAGATATTCAGGATACCAAAGCTATTAGTGCATGTTCTGAAATTCAAGCATAATGAAGAAATCAGGACAGAAATGCTTGTTCCTTTGTCCTCTTTCAAGGCTTCTTTTAAAATCCTACCAGGGGCAAGCAATAGAAGGGAAATTATGTAGACTAGACAGCTCTTTGGCCATTTGTCCATCTTTCCCTCATTAATCAATGGCAGAAAAAATAGTGGGAAAATATAGGAACATTCCAAATGAAAGCAAATGTTACACAATCTTTTCTCTGTAACATTCTGTAAATTCTCTGTGTGAATAAAAGCCTTATTGAGAAGCCAAGAGGTAGAGAAGAATTCTTTTCCTCTCAGTTATTTACTAGAATGGTTACAAACTTTTCTTAGTTATGCAGTGATTTATGTCTCCTTCCCTTACTATGTAGAGCACGGGTGTCAAACTCGCCGCGTCATGTGACGTGTCACGACATATCGCAACTTTTTTTTGCATTGCTGGAGCTGGAGTGGGCGCGGCCTCTGCATGATACAACCGGCCCCTGATGTAGAGTATGTTCATTTACACCAATATTAAAAGGAATTGAAAGGCAAGTGACTTCACCACTCAAAAATTGTAAAAATTTACTGAACTTACCAAATCCTTGGCATTCAGAGATACATCATCCCACCAGGGAGAAACAAAATCATATTCACAGTTCAAAATCCTCTTGAACATATACTGATCTCCTCTTTCATCATAGAATGGTTCAAAGCCACAAAGTCTACATGCAAATGAGAAAGAAATGTATACATTTGGTGAGATAGAATGATATACATCAATCTTATCTTCTTTGCCCAGAAAATAAATATGCAAATATTGAAGTATTGTGCATTATCTTGGAAATTAAAAATAATACATAATGTTAATAAATTTCTTCAATATGAACAGTTAGCGATTGTAGAAGTGAATGACTTCTCTAATATACAGTAATACATATGTATTTCTAAATCTCATACTGGGCTTTACACAAAGGTAAAATTCATGATTTTAAGAAAAACTGAAGTTGAACATAGATTTCAAGAAAGCAGAAGTTATTAACATTAGCATAATGACTCTGGAACAGAAAAAAACTAATGAGAATAGTATCTTAAGATGGGTAGTTTCTTAAAAAAGAAGATACTAGGAGCATAACTGCAACTATTTTTCTTACTGAGGAAAAATACGGAGAGCAGTAAAAACAGCCATTGTTGTTAAATGAAATGAAAGGCAACATAGAGTATAGAAGATAGGAACAAGGAAAGATAATTGAGCAATAATACACAGAGAAAGTTTTAGATAGTTTCAGGACAGCTGAACTGAGACTGGTGAAGGTTCCTAAAAAAAGAAAATGAGCTGCTGATTCAGAGTAAATTTATTATATAAACATGATAAATAATCATTTATCATATAACATCAGATTTCTTTAATCTGAAAAAGTTTAAATTATCTTGGCTAAATAAGTTGCTCATCAAAAACATTTGAAATATTGATGACTGGAAGAAGGCAAATGCTGTTCCTTTGGAAGGAAGGAAGGAAGGAAGGAAGGAAGGAAGGAAGGAAGGAAGGAAGGAAGGAAGGAAGGAAACTATAAACTAGCTAGTCTGATATTGTTACTTTTGAATGTTCTAGAGAAGATCACAAATTAATTTGCAAAAAAACCTTGAAAACAATGCAATATTAATTAGGAATCAGAATGGATTTGCCAAGAATAACACTTGCACTGGTTACTTTATTTCATTTTTATTGGGATATTTTCTTAGCAAAATATGGGAACGCTACAGACATAATACATCTTGATTTCAGCAAAATGTTTGACAATGTTTTCCATGATGTGAGTTGAATGGTATTATTATTAAGTAGGTACATAGCTAGTTTAAAAATTGAACTTAGAGAGGGCTTGATAATGATTCTTCAGCAAACTAGATGGAAGTATTGAGTAGGGCAGTGATGGCAAACCTTTTAGAGACCGAGTGCCCAAACTGCAACCCAAAACCCACTTATGCATCGTCGGGTGCCGGGTGGGTGTGGCCCATTGGGGGGCATGGCTGCAGTGGTAATAGCAGACTGGGTGGGACTAAAAGGTTCAATCAATCAATTCCAACTTTGCAAGATCTTTTTTTTCCCGCGAGAAGTTGAAATTGACTGATTGATTGAACCTTTTTTTTGTACACGGCGGCAGAGGCCTAAAGCGAAAAGGTTTTATAAAACCCAGCTGAAGACCTAGGACTGGAGTGACGGCACGTGTGCCCACAGAGAGGGCTCTGAGTGCCACCTCTGGCACCCGTGCCATAGGTTTGCCACCACTGGAGTAAGGTATATTCAGGGCTTTGTATTCTTCAATATTTTTATTAATTACTTGGACAAGAAGTAGAAAGAATGCTTATTAAATACACATGACACAAATTTGAGTGGGAGAGGTAATGCCTTAAAAGATAGAAGCAAGCTTTAAAATTATGTTGATGGGTTTGAAAAATGACCTGAAAATAAAGAATGCAATTTAACAAGAATTTAATTTGGTCTTTGTCTATGTTTATAAAAAAAATAATAATCAATGCAAGGTCTTCATCTAGGAAAGAAATTACATGCACACATGTGGTGGACACTTGGTTTTATATCAATAATTACAAAAATATATTGGAATAGTCAATTATATTTTATGGGAATTTAGATTTAAGATTCTATATTTATGTTGTCAGTTGAAAATCTGCAAGGAGCAGCCTATCATTTAATAAATAGGTAAAATACATTAATGATTATATCATGTATTTGCTGGTTTTCTGTAAATTAATGTAAATGGCAATTTTTATTCTTGAAGTTTTCAGAATTTGATATTACTTCCTCTTTCTTTGCCATGTACATAGGTACATACATAGTACATACATACATTCATACATATCATAGAGAAAAAGGAGGTCTGTATTTGTGAATGTAAAATAACAATATAAAATAAAAATAAATTTACAAAACATTGACAAAATATTAGGCCAGGAAAACCTTCCAGAAAAAAAGGAAAAATATTTCATCTTAGAACTTCTTGAAAAGACCTTTTTCTTGCTTGGTAATCAGCTGCAAGTCTCAATGCTTCAGAAGACTCTCCTGCATGGGAAGGCTCATGAAAAAGAAGGCCAAAAATGCTTAATTACTGTATAACACTCCTCTACGTAGGCCAGGGGTCTTCAAACTTGGCCCTTTTATGACTTGTGAACTTCAACTTCCTGAATTCCTCAGCCAGGTACGCTGGCTTAGGAATTCTGGGAGTTGAAGTCCACAAGTCATAAAAGGGCCAAGTTTCAAAAACCCCTGACTTAGACTTATGCTCACACCACTAGAGTTCTTATTCTACATCTAATGCTCAACTGAGCAATGATGGTGGCATTCTTCTTCTCAGTTCATCCCAAAATTGATTTACCAATGGCCATTTTTAAAGGAAGAAGCAAGGTGTAGAAGAAGGAAGTTTTTAGAAAGAGAAACATTGATATGTGTGTCCTTTATGCTTTCAAAGCATGGTGATGGGATATTAAATACATTTTCATATCAACATCATCTAACAATGGCTCTGCACTCAGTCCACATTCTCCATCTTAGGATTTTTTTTTCACACTGTTACACTCTAGGTAAACATCAATTCACTTTGAATTTTCATGTCTCTTATATCCATTTTGGGACAGTGGTGACGAGGGGAAATATCTTGCTTTATGAAGAGTTCTTGAGAAGCAGAGGTAGCATGCCCTGGATTGCAACGTAACTTTAAATCCAAACTCATTCATGAATCTCAGGGTAGAGAGAATCATTGTCTCAAATGAAACTACAAGCTACCATAAAGATAAAGGAAAACAATGCCCCAAGACTTGTAATTTAACAAATTAAAACCAATGCATATTTTAAAATCTAATTTTTGCTTTTGAATAATTCCTGAACCTTCATCCTTCAAATCATTAAAAGCAGAGCAAAGCAAATTATTGATTTAGTTCTTATTGATACAGTTAATGAATGCTGATTATTAGAAAATAATGAAATAACCACCTGTTCCATACTTATGTCTTCTAAACTTACAGGATATAGGTGATTATTCCTATGGACCACATGTCCACTTCTGAGCCATAAGCACACCCTCGTAGAATTTCTGGTGCTGCAGATGATAAAAACCTTGTCAGTAAAACTAGATAACAGCCATCAAGTATATGGTCTAAACTCATGAAGAAAAAAAACATAATTCTACAAATTCAAAATGACAAAATTTATAAATATAACTAAATAAAATAGAACTTAAGAAGGCAAAAGTAAAATATATCTGTATGAAATGTAAGTAATTTTAGTACTAATTAAAAGCTTTCAAATGTGCTTAGCAACTAAGTTGCAAAAAATAGATTTTTGGAACGATACTTTGACACAACAGTTCTAAAATTAAAACAACAAAAACTAATTATGTTACTATGGCAAATACTTTTGAGAAGGTTGGCCAATTTGATTCTTAATAATATGGGCATATTTTTTTTATTTAACAACCTATTTCTGATCTTCATGTGGGATTTTCCTAATATATTCAAAATAGATTTGCTTAAGAGATTTTCTTTTCAAGAAGCATGTTTAAACTTTTATCTGTATCTTTTTTGTGTTATGCTTTTAATGAATACTGCAATTATTTAAATATTACGAGGGGGGAAACAAGCTTCATTCAGAAGACATATTTTCCCCCTTAAATCAATTGTTGGATGTTCTTTCTACATAGCTTCTTAATTTATTTAGATGTTTTTACAGATTCCTGAAGATTCCAGCTGTATATCAGGGATTGTTTGTGGAGATGATATACAGTATTCCATTTGTTTTCCAGCTTCCATAGAATAAGTTTTGAGACATTTTAAAAGGAATTTTATCTCCCAGAGAAAGTGAGTTGGAGAAAAATCTATCTTGACATGATAAACAAGAACTGGAGAAGGTGATTCTAAACCTGCAGTATAACTGAGGTGTATGTCTTTTAGGAATGTCTGTGTTGTCAGATAGCCAGTGTGAAAAGGCAGTCAAAGTCCTCCCACTATAGAGTCTTCCTGCTGAAATCAAAGATAAAAGGTTCAAAATCACAAATTAGAATAGGCTCTAGACAAAGATCAAAACTCAATAGAAAATGCCAATGCAACTATAATTGGGTGAACATTGTTCCCGGTCTGAAACTTAATCTCTTTGATCAACTAAGAAAAAAGGTCCCTGCCCCAAAGAGATTACTATTGTTCATCGACAAAGGCTAAATAATCAGAACCCACAGCTCAGCAGGGTGCCTGACTGCAAAAAGTGCATTTTCTTAGAATTCCTATAGGGTGTTTCATTTTCAATGAAAAAAGGTAAAATTTTCTTATATAAGGGGCATTTGAGAAATACCTAACCATGGCTACCTCCAAGTTATTTTTGTGTATTAGGCCCTTGCAATAAACGTCACCTTTGATTGAAGCGACTTCTTGCGATCTTTATTCCTGGCTTGGAAATGGACCTGATAAGATTTCTTTCTAACACCAAGAAACTATATTCGCCTAATTTGTTATTTACATGAACGTGCAAATGTTGTGCATATGGTAGAAATTTATGTAAAATATATAAAATGTGAGTATTACGATGCAAATGGAATAAAATACAACAATTATCCAGACCATTACAAGGGGTGAAGTCTGATCTAAAAATCTAAACGTTGCATCTAAGATCCACTAAACTGAAGTCTGTGAAATTGAGATTTTATTGTATTGCAAACTGTTAGACTTAACCAGAAACTTCATGCTTCCATCTGGATGGTCTTCTCTCTAAGCAAAAATGCAGCTTTGGGACGTGCATACTATAGCTAACCATGTACAGTTATAGTTAGCATATGACTTCAATAGATAAATGATACTTTGAATAAGTGAATACAATATAGACCTATATATTTTAATATGAACTGAGGTTTTTTTTTGTTTTTAGTGTGATAATTGCTAAATTTAGAAATTATAGAAAGTGAAAACAACAGAATACAAATAAAGCAGATCTAAAATAAGATAAATTCAGAAACATACCACAATATCCTGGAGTTCCACAGACTGTTTTCATGGTAACATGATCTGCAACTATCTTGGAAAGTCCAAAATCAGCTGTTAAAACAAAATCAGAAAATTATATTTCTTATGAAATAATTGTTGAATTAGACATAGCAAATCAATGTTCTAAATCAGGTAGGAAGCCTATATAGATGGAAAAGGTGACCTTCAACTCAATGTGGCAAAGTACTGAAAACCAGTTGTATGGTTGTCCTTTTTCTTCCCAACTGCATGTCTTTTAAACACACATCATCATCACTGAATAATGTTCCACTGTCTATCTGTAAAACAGTATGCACTGAAATATAGGGGAAAAGAGGCATATGAAGCACATAAACTATTATTGTATGAATGAATGTAAATTTAGAGGAGATAAGAATAATTATTTTCAAATTTCAAAGAATCATGGTTGCACGTAGAAGTCTGTGAATCAGACTTTGTCTCTGGAATGCTGTCTGCATAAAGGGGACAGAATGAAAATATGACAGAGAAGAAATTAATTCTCTTCAGCATGAAATGAATGCGGCAAGTATTATAGAAAAACTTTCCCTTTGTTAAATGCAAGAAACCTAAAACTGAAGGAAGTTTTAAAGTTTTATTGATCTGTGATCACAAGGTGTTCTCCTAGAGGAGAAGATAAAATTGAGATACAAACAAGCTCTTTGTCAAGCTGCTTACATATATCATCTTCCTGTGCCTAATTAGGAACAAGCAGTAGTTGATTTAGGCTAACAGCAGCTTTGTCCTTCATCAGACATAGTTATTTTTAACTTGCTTCATTCTTCGGGAATTGTATAAGACTGCAATATGAACAAAGTGAATTGTCAATTGCTTCTTTTTATTCTAGAAATTTGTTTTGTGCAACTTATTTGCTATTGTGATGGTTTATAGCTTATTTTACTGTACACCCTAAATTTTGCTTTGGTTATGTCTGTTAATGTTTTCTGATTCTGAGGTCTCACAGTATCCTTTAGTACCAACTTGCTAAGGATGCTACTAAAAGTTACCAATTATCAGTTACCTATTTTTAAAGGTGCATCTGGAGCTGGAGTTGCATACAATAGATTTTCTGGTTTCAAATCCCGGTGAACAATTCCATTGGCATGTAAATACTAGAAGGAATAAATGAGGGTATGCAATGTTATTTTATACAATTAATACATTTTCATAATGCTGTGTATTATTATGTATATGGATTTGACTTCTGGAGAAAAGTGGAATGTAAATCTAAAAAATAAGATAAACTTCATGCACTGAAAATTTAAAAAAGTATAATTTGTAATATCAAAAACAACTTGCACCCTCATCTAGAAAATGAAAAGAAAAAGTCTAACAATCACCATTAACCACAGTGGTTTATTGTCCATGAATATCAAGATGCGACTGTAAATAAATTTTGTTTGTGGCCTTCCCAAGGGGGCCTAAGAAAAAAGTGGATTAAATTGGTTACTGTTTGAGCCAATTTTTTGTGGACAAGGTTGAATGCAGTGCAAATGGTGTACTTTGTGTATGTATCTTTGTATGTGGTAAAACAGTGAGTTGCAGTCAAAATGTGAATAAATGTGGGTTGAACTTTAAAGTGAGTAGCCAATCCAAATGAAGTACTATGAGATGTTTTGGTCATGTAGAAAGAATGAATGAAGGTCCACACAACACAAAAGAAATATGTGAAGCAAGAGGTAATCAGTCAATGGGAATAAGAAGATCAAAAATTTGTGGCTGGATAGAGCTGCTGAGATCCACAAAAAGAAAAAGATGAGAGGTTTCAATAAACAGAAGGCACGGTACAAATTAGGGTATGGAAACAGAAAAACCAAGAATGTTTATAGGACAAAAGAAAGTAGGGAGAGATAGTAAATGGTAATGCTGTAAACTAGATTTAGTTAGATTTTCTTTTCTCTTACTTCCTGTCATTAACTGTTTAGCTTGCTAATCAAATACCAAAATAGATATGTTGTATATAAGTACACTTTTAAAATAATATAATATAGCATTTTCATAGACCCTTAACCAGTCTAAGACAATCCTGATTTCTCTAGCAGAACATGAAAGTGGGTGCATAATGACTTCACAAAATATGCCAAGCCATACTGTGGTTTGTTTACAGATTAACATGTTATGTGAAACCAGTCCATTATAGTTAATTCATCAAAACATGATTAAGTAAATCATGGTTTGGTGTGATATGTTTAATCAGTCATTTGGTTTTAATGCAGGGTGCTATACAATCGGAAACTGGCTGTCTGTAAGCCTCAGGTTTCCATTGTAAAAACATATTTGCAACAATGCCCTCTGTGCTACTGTAGAGCTAGAAAATAATAGGGTGTGCTGTCCAAGGGCAATAACAAGATGGGATCATCCAAGTATAAAGCTAACCACCCAGATACAGAGCTGATCAGGAAGTGCCTCATTCCAATGGTTAAATATGATATATTTTAAAGTATGAAGAAAAGAAAGCCTCCATATGAAAGATCAAAATAATCAAAATTTCCCTAAGAAAGGAATTAACTTAAATGTATTATTTGAAATTAATCAGCATTATCCTGGTTACATAATCAATATTTATGATTAAGATATAAATAAAAAATCTGCTTGCATGAAAAAAATGAAATATTTTATGGAAAAAGCATGGCTATTAGCAAATGCTCCATTTTTATTTATTTATTTGTATCCTGCCTTTGTTATTTTTACAAATAACTCAAGATGGTGAACATATCCAACACACCTCCCTCCTTCTATTTTCCCCACAATAACAACCCTCACAAAGGTGGCTTTCACATCTAAGGCAGGACTAGAACTCACAATTCCCTGCTTTCTAGCTTGGTGTCTTAACCACTAAATCAAACTGGCTCTCTATGATTTCTGAATGAATGAATGGAAGTAAATAGTTAAATGCTAGCAAATTGAAGAGCAATATTAAATTCCTTTTTTTATCAGTGCAAAATAGTACAAGATTAGAACTTTAAGTAGCTATGACTTGCACTTGAAATAGAGAAAATGTTAGTTTTCTAAACCTGGATTTTACTTGGACATGGGATCAGGCAAGATGATATGAAACTCAGTTATTTAATTATAAATTTTAAAGATATGTATATATCCATTTTCTAATAAAGAGCATGAAGCAATTATTATGACCAGGCTAAAATGGTAAACACCCAGGATTTATATTGAAGACATTGCATTGTATACTTGGAGGTGCCTTGCACAGGTACTTAATTTTTTTT